AAAAAAAAAAAAAAAAAAAGCTATAGGGAAGAATAAAGAGCAATCTAGCCCAGGGGAAAGGGGTGTTATTTTCTTGAGACAGTCTTGCTATGCTGTTTAGGCTGGCCTCGAACTTCTACAGCCTGGCCTGGCCCAGCCCTCACAATGATCCTCCTGCCTCAGCCTCCAGAGTTGGGACATGTACCACCACATCCAGCAGGGGCATTAGTACTGTTGAAGGACGAGGGCAGTGGTGGTGAACTTATGGTCTGTGTAGGGCAGGCCGTTTATTACCCTTGGGAGCTCTAAAAGACTCACAATCACTGCACTAGGCTATTGTGATTTTTGCACTACTGGGAATCGAACTCGGGCCTGCCAAGTGCCCCACTACCTCCGTACTCCCCTAGCCCTGCGCTGACTTCCAGCCTGCTCTGCCAAGGTACTTTTTCTAGATTTGGTAATCTGTCTTTCCTAAATTATTAGAGAAATGTGCATGTCATATATACATATATATGGAACTATTAAAAATTAAAACATTGGCTGGGGATACAGTTCAGTAGCATAGCACCTGCCTGAATTCAACTTCAGGGAACAACAAAGCTGATCAAGGTCTAGAGATAAAGCTCATTGGCAGAACACCTGCCTAGCAAGTGGTAGGTCCTTGTTTATTTCCCAACACTACAAAACAAATAAAAATTAAATGAACTTCTATGACTTTTGTTGAGATGGGGTCTTAGCCAAACACTTCTCTTCCTCTTCCTTTTTTTTTCTTTCTGAGACAGTATCTTCATATGCAGTTCAGGCTGGCCTTGAGTTTACTTGGTAGCCTAGGCTGGTCTTGAACTCAAAACAATCCTCCTGCCTCAGCCTCCAGAGTGCTGGGATTACAGATGTGCGCTATCACATCTGGCTCCTATGACGTTTTTGGTATTTTTTTGTATTTTTTAGGGAAGGGTCTACAGGGTATTCAGGGTTTCACTACTAGATCAGACTCAGTGATAGCCTCCCAAGAACTGGGATTAAAGGCGTGCATGACCACGCCCAGTCAGTTACCACTCAGTCTCAACTGCTATCTCAGTACACCCTGGAGGCAGAGCCCAAACAGCAGGCCTGGGATCAAACCCCTGGCCACGGGGCCTGCTTACAGGTGCTGTAATCTGCTGAGCTATTTGGCCAGCCCTCCTATGACTTAAAAAAAAATTTTTTTAGGGACTGGGGAGATGGCTCAGTAGAGTAAGTGCCTGCCTGGCAAGCACAGGGACCCGAGTTCAATCCCCAGTTCTGCAAAAAAAAATAAATAAAATAAAATAAATAAAATTAAAACACTTTTTTTTTTTTCCTTGTATACTTTTTGACACAAAGCTAAAAGGTTATTCAATGAATACTTAAGGGCTTGACTACAGAGGTTTTAAGAGAATAATTTAATAAAAAATATGTATTCCTGGGGCCAGGGAGATAGCTCAGTAGAATAAGTGCTTGCCTGGCAAGCACAGGGTCCTGAGTTCAATCCCCAGTACCACAAAAAAAAAAAAAAA